TGCGAGCTTCTCACCACCTTGGTGCTTCTCCCTGGTTTTTTCAGGGCCCCTCTTCCTCTACTTCTTATCCTTTGTTTCGATTTCCCTATTCCCTTCTTGGATCTTGGCGCAGAGTAGAGATCGGGGCGCAGGCAGTGAAGGGACCTGGTGCAGAGCAAGGCTGGTGCAGGGCGTGTGCGCGGGGCGCGAGTGTGGGGGTGGGCAACGGCACAAGTTTGGGGCGCGGCAAGGGCAGGGGTGTGATGCAGCAGGCGGCTCGTCTAGGTGCAGCAGGCGGCTCGTTTTGTGGGTGGACCCTGTGTTTTCCAGATCTAGAAGAGCTTTGGTTCCTGCACATGCTGAGCATCATATTCCCTTTTGAAACAATGCAATCCACTATTGCGATGCCTCTGTTTTGCTTAGATCTAGGATATCCGAGTGGTAGGCATTGGAGGCTGATTGGGTTTTTCGGTCGTAAGCCAAAGGAAAAGGATGAAGTTGGTAAAGTCGCTATGGGGAAGAATGCTGCTTCAGTCTTAAAAGGGGCTCTAGTTCCCTTATTGAAATTTGGCAACAAGGGCTTGCAAAGGATTGGAATAGTTAAGGCATGGTTGGGAGCCCGGGGCAACAAGAGAGGTGCCTGGGTTGATCATGGCCCTCCTATTTGATTGAAACTGTTTTAGGGACGACATATAGTGGGTTGGGGACTGCTGATGTCGAATTTTCCCTGCTCTCCCCGCGAAGTTGGCTAAATAGGTGAAGACGTCCAGTAGTTTCCGACACTCATAGCGACCTCCTTTTCTACTTTTGTAGCCCTATTTTGCCCATACAGCGATTGTAGTTACAATCTTTAGTTGCAGATGGCCCTCCCCGCTTAATTGTCTAGATATGTCATGGGCATAGTTTAAATCTGTTACTATGCTGTAGGTTATGCTTCTGTCCTTAACATGGCTATAATGCTTTGCTAGAGATTTCATCTGTAATCTCTTTATATTTAATATAATTCTCTATTTTTTATCAAAAAAAAAAAATAGTGATAACAAAAGAAAAGAGGTTTCAATAATTAAAATAATAATTTTTTTATAAAATTATTTAAATATTTTAAATAAATTAATTTATAAAAAATTTATTAAAAATATTTAACTAATTTTACAAAAAAGATTGATATTTTAAAGATTAAGAAGTATTGATTTTTATTTTTTTAACTAAGAAGTTTGGGTATAAATTAAAAATATAGTTATTGTATTTTTTATTATTAATTTATATTAATAAAATAAAATTTTACTTTAATTTTGTCAATTATTTAATTAAATCATTTCTAATAACATAGGTAATAAAAAATATATTTACTTTTATAATTTTTTATGAAAATTAATAATAAAAAATTATAATAAATGCATAGTTAATCTATACCCAAACTTGCACCTGACCCTTGAGGTCTAGTGGCAATAGCCACTCCGGTGCATTCCTCCTCCCCGGACTGGGTTCAAAACCCGCCCCTTACAAATATGTTAAAAAAAAAAAAAAATCTATACCCAAACTTATTAATCATACCAAATAAAATCCAAAAGGTTAGTCATTTATTGTCCTTCCATCCATCCCGTTAGAACCACCAATGTTTTCTTTGCTTATATCATCGTTATTCCAATAAAATGAAAATGATACTGTAATAATATTATATAATATTTTAAATTTATTAATTTTTTAATATAATATGTCTATATAATAAATTCATTTTATTTATTAATATAATGTTAAATTTTACACATTCACTCATTTAATAATATATTTTATTTATTTATTATAATATTATTATTGTAAATTTATAATGTTATATTGTAAAATATCATGGTGCGCGAGAACTTCATCACTCATTGTCTATGTGGTGTCTACGGATCAAGAGATTGTCGGCAACGGCAACATGCAACAGGTGTTTTTGTGCTTGTTGATCACCTTTTCTAATCTTTTTATCAGAAATTGGCTATTTTCCGAGCTAAATACTTATTTGATGGAAAGATGCCTTTTCCAACAGGTAGTTTTGTAAGCGTAGAGTTGCATATCCAACTGACCTGGGCAAGCAATTACAGGAATTTTTGTTTAGAATAATAATTTTCATCTTTTTGCAGGGGATGTTTATTTTTAAGATGTAATACCTACCAAAATAAACTCCAATCACTCAACTTAATGCATTAAAACTTAAAAGTAGAATTCAAAAATTCAAGAGAAAAAAGTAAAGAAACTAAAGAATCAAAAAAAAAAAAAGTTAACAGTGTGCTTATGAGACTCTTTTACTTATATAAAAACTTTAATTAGTGCCTTTTTTATTATTATAGAACAGATTTAAATTTTTAAAAGGTTATAGGTTTTTTATCTGAAATTTATATTAAATCCTTAAAAATATTTTTACCCTCTTTAAAATGGTTGTCATTTCAAATTCAAAATTAAATTTGAAGATATTTTCAGACACATGTTGAGACAAATTTACAAACGTTCTCCACCGTTCCTTTTGTATCTCACTTTTTTCTCTTTCTTCATTATTTTTGACATTGCTTCTTGTCTTAAGAACCGTACCCCACATGCTCCTGAAAGTTAATGCATGATATATAATATTATATTATTATAAATTAACTAAATGTGAATACTTTTGAATATGTTTAGAAATTTGAATTTATATTTAAAGAATATATTTTAAATATATGTATTTAAAATATATGTAATATTAAATATATATATATTTAAAATTTATTATTTAAATTAATATAATAATAATAAATTTGATTTTTAATTTGTTCATTAAAAGAAATGAGAGAATTAAAATATATAAATTTAAATTTAAAATATATAAGGTTAAGAGGATATTTCAAATACATAAATTTAAAATAATAAAATACATAAAACCAATTACATAAATTTAGAATATATTTAATTACATATTTTGTAAAAAAAACAAAGATATTAAATTTAAAAAATCTAAATTCAAATACATTTTATAAAAATCATGTTCTCAACATACAATATATGAATTATTAAAAAATACTTAATATATATAAATATATAACAGATAAAGAAAGAGGTGGTTCTAATATCGTTGTCGGTTTGAATTTCTAGACGCAAATGGAGTGTTAGCTTGTTGCGTTTTTTTTTTTTTTTTTTTCAGTGAAGAATAAAAGGGTTTTTTTATTAATATATTTATTAAAAATTTATTATTTTTAATTTAAAATTATTTTTTAATAAATATATTAATTATTTTTGGAGATTAAATTTATATTCGCCTTTTATTTAACGATGACTCTAGCCGCATATATTCGAAGGCATGGTATGACTAAAACCAGTAGCATTATTTAACCATTGGCAAAAAATGGAGAAGGCGCGGGGTGAGGTTAGGGTGTGTTTCGGATAGTTATGAAGTATTATGTATGTAATTGTGGTTGT